TCAAATTTTTGTGTGGGTGAGCGCAAGCCTTAGCCTCAAGAACTGACCATACGCTGTAATCGAGGGGATTGAGATCCGGCGAATACGGAGGCCATTCTGCAGGAGTTATGAAGTTCTTTCGTTGCTCTGAAGCCATGCCTGAACAGCCTTCACCTTGTGAGCAGGTGCGCTGTCCTGCTGGAAGCACCAATCTCTACCGGAAAAATGGGTATTGGTCCAAGGTAGCAGTACCTTCTTCAGGATGCTATCCAAATACTCAGCAGCGTCTACCTTGATGCCCTGAGGCACAAAAATCAGCGGCGTCTTGCCGTCGGAAGTGATTGCCGCCCAAACCATCACAGGAGCCGGATGGAGCTTCTTTCCACAAATCGACCTTTGCTGTTTGCCTCTTCGAGCGACGGATACGATCCTGCTGTTTTGGCGATTGAAAACCTGCTCCACAGTGAAAATTTTCTCGTCAGAAAAGAGTATCGTTCGATGGCGTGCCTTGGAGAAGCGCTCAAGCAATCGAGACACCTGTGAACGGGTCAGCTTCATATTGTCTTGAAGTGCGTGCGTTTTCTGCATCCGGTAGAGCTTGATCCCAAGGTTCACTTTCACCATGTCCGAGATGGTCCTACGACTGATGGACAGCTCTGATACCAGCTCACTCAAGCTCCTTTGTGGATTACGATGTATGCGTTCTCGAATGATTTTCCGGTTCGCGGCAGTGTTCACGGTGGCTGGTCTACCGTCCCTAGGACGGTCCTGGGTACTGCTTGTCTCCTTGTAACGGCGCAGGTTGTACCACACTGTGTTCCGCGGAATTCTGAGTATTTGAGCAATCTGCTTTTGTGACTTCCCTTCCATGTGCATCTTCACGATCAGCTCGCGCTCTGATTGAGAAGGATTAATTCCGTTAGGATTAAGAATATCAATCCAATTTTTGGAGAGCTTTTATAGAACAGTTCAAAGATCAACTACATCAAAGATAAGTTAAGACATGATATGATATGATAAAACAAGATAGCACCTAAATGTTGTTCAAAGACTTTCCTCCAACCCTGTACATGCCTTTAGCAGTGATACTTTACATTTTTAGCCTTCTAGAGCTGCTAGTTCACGAGAAATAACGAATTTAGCTCTCCTTATCCGAAATTTTCTTGCTTAGTTGCTAAAAATTTGATATTTCTCGTAAACCGACTTTTGTAAAGAGCTGAAAATTCACACTAACGCTTCTAAGGTCCTATAGTATGCAAAGCTCAGCGCTAGAACATCTCAGCTTCGTTTGAGAAAAACACACACATAAAAACTTCGTTTTCTCGATTTTTAGCTGAGAGAAAAATACAGCAACTGCATAGAGAAATGTCTTATACGAAATGACAATGCACGAGCAAGCTATTAATTTTGGAGGATTTTTCTAAACGGACTTTCAATTTTTTCTTGGTTTTTTGCGGCGCTTTTTCGTTTCTGGCTTCAATTAGCTTGGATCAAAGCTGCTGCAGATCTTTAAGCACTATCTTGTAGAGCTAGGTTTGCTCTATCTAATGATATATCGAATCCTATATGGGAAATAGGATTATTCAGGATTATTGCGGTCTGTACCTATTTTGGTGCAGGAATTATGCATCAACCTAATAGTGGTGATAAATCTTTTACTTTGGGTGCATTTCAAAATAAAACGCAATGTTCGCAATAAGTGTAACACAATATTCTGTACTTTGATGCTGACAGAATTCACTTTGAAATATTGAAAATTTAAGCGTCTGCAGATTTGCGCTGTTTGGATGTTTCCGAGGATCAACATAAGAGCGAATATACCACAACAATTAAAATTTGTATTTTTGCTTTATCCAACTTTATATATTAGAGGAATGTAGGTCGCTCGCTTATTTCTTGCACCACTTCAGCTAGAATGGGCACATTTGAGAGGGGCCATGAATTATGAAAGCCACCAAATCTCTTAAAATTATTACCTCCACTTTTTTTCAAGTTGTTGGCTTTGCTTATTTACCTTCACAAATTCTTTTTGATGTTGTTGATTTTCCATTAGAGATCTTTAAACAAGCATGTTTATTTTTCGAAATTTTATCCAGGTTTTACGCTACATGTAAATATGATATCGAGAGGTGAATATGTCTTCGATAAAGGCCAAGGGGACTTCGTTTTTAACAATAAGAATCCTATAAACCAGCTCGTGCCGGGCCCTGGCAGTGATACATATCATATTTTGGTTAGCTTACCTACATGCTACGATTTTTTGCCTTCGGACCTAGCGTAAACAAACGATGGATACCAAAGATTAGTAACTTTGGCCAATCTCCATTTTCCTGCTGATCACAAAAACAAGATCAATGCTAACAAATATGTTGTGGTCGGTAGGATGCGTTATTGACAAAGAAAGCCGTAAGCGAACGGCTATTTCTCGTCGTAAGTTCAGAGTGCAAAAGCCAGAAAATCATTGATCCACAAACAATGAATGGATGATTTAAAAGGCAAACATTACATCAAGCGCTACTCCGGAGACAGCGCACCGATGAACGGCCTTTTCCTCATCTTTCGCAGTAACTTTCATTTTTGCTAACTTACAAGTGGTAGCACGTTTATTTGTATTCTCCTACCCAATTAGTCCGATTATGCAATCCTTGATTTAGGTGTACTATCAAACGCCACAACTTTTTGCTATGATGGAAAATGTCCGACTGGATATATGTGCTCTCAAGTGTGCATAAACCCTATAGGCCCTTGCGTGAATAGATTGTGTCCGTCCCCCTACGTTTGCTATCCAGTATCCAGATTCGATGACGGCTTATGTATGAAGATTTAGTATAGGCAGTATACGCCATCAAAACCATCAAATACTAAATTTGCCGCTACAATAAAGCTCAAATTATGTGATCCAAACAGCTTAACACACTAACTTTTCACAACATCTTTGAATAATCTTCTTCAATTTGGTAAGATATGAGGTACAGGTAGCATTTTTTAGACCTTTAAAGACATACATCTGGAAAAAAATATACTTGCGATTCGTCATCGGGCTTATTCAAATATGGAAAGATTTTAAAATCAACTACTCAGATGACCATAAAAACAGAAAGAGCAAGCGAAAAATGGAGGTTCCATGTAATGTATTAGATTGTGCAAAAATAACGTCTTTCTGGCCCCAATTCCCGAACAGCATATTCATTGAACTTTCTCTTTCAATACAGATGTTTGAAAAGCTTTGTTCATGTACTTTTCAACAGTGACTTTCACCCTTATCCGTGAGAATTTTACCAGCATTTTGAACAGCCGCATTCAAAATCGAGATTTTTTGCTTTCACTTTCTTGGCCGCAATTCAGGCGCAGATAAACAAATTAATTTTTGATTTTTGTTTACCTGTTGTATGCTTAAGTGATTTCCGTGTATGCTTAAGTGAAATCATCTGGACTGAGAAATGGACGCTTCAAACAGATACTCGCTGCTGGCATTCTATGGCTCGAAAATTTTTGGATTAAGGTGATTGCTGAAGTTTCGCTCGTAAGCTTAAGATAAGGTCTTGCCTACAATTTTTGCAGGAAAAAATCAGCAGTACAGTGCATGAAGAACTCAAGTTTCAATACTGGGGCTTGCAAGCTCACTGTAATCTCTTAAAGACGAGGCTTCCAAAAGATGAACTTTTCGATTTTTGACGCATGGTTTTCATACCATTTGCGACATCAATATGAGCAGGTGCGCGCTATATTACGAAATACTCACTGCTTCTGAAGATTTTGAACGTATTTAAAAACTTGAAGACTGGATAAATCTGTAGTATTTCAAAGTAAAACTTTGCAAAACGGCACTATTTTTGCACCTACCAACTTTTGTTGTTGTGTTAAGCTTCGAATCAGCGTTGTCTTGTGAGACACGATTAACGAACCCAACAGATTTGAGACACGAGTCCATTTTGAAGAACAAGAACAGCTTGTAGATACATTACACAGCGATTTCGAACAAAATCAACAAGTTCGAATTCAAAAGGGCAGCTTGAACAAGAACACTTAGCTTTTAGGTACCGCTCTATACAACTTCTTCATTGCAGGGCTAGCGTGCGTAAACTCATAGCAAGGGCCGCTAGTAACTGGTGCTGATTGAAACAGCTTGTATGTATTGGATTGCTTCAAAAGTTCTGCCCGTTCATTTACCTCTTCTTCAAAGTGCTTTTGAGTTTATCATATTTTGTAAACATTGCTTATATATTCTAAGCTCTTTTCTAGTTTTCCAAGTCTGTTCTCATAGAAATCTGCTCATTCTGCGATCCCGCACCTCGAAAACAACAAGGCAAGGGTGGAATTCTTTCTCTTCACTTCTATGATATTCAACGGCAAAGGCAAAAGACGGAAATTTACAAAAACATGCGTATTGCCTGCCGAGGAATTGCGTTACACATTGCGAATCGAGGTGGTAATTTTGAGTGGTTTAAACCAGAAATTTTTGGGCGGACATGAGCTGCTATTGTAGTCTTTATGAGTCTTTTGAAGACCGCAATGCGACTTGTTGCTTTGCACAGCAACACTAAGCTTTTATAATAGGAAAAGTCAAAATTTTTATATCTTGCAAAAAGTAAAAAATCTGGTGCATTTTTACCTCCAAAAGCAAGTCAAGTGGGTTTTCATTTGAATAATTATTATCTTATCCGTTTACTAATGTATACTTCGCAAGTCTGCGTTGAAGGAGAAACCTACGAGTGTGACCAACTTGCAGATTTTTTACGCTCAGGGTGTACCTTGGAATAAACCAGTTTAGCTCAAATATGAAGCGCGAACCTATGGAACAAAATGGTATATATGTAAATATACTTCTCGGTCTAATTTGAGAAACACTAGAACAAACTGGAAAAAACTTATAATGTAATAAAGCATCACCACTCTCTAGAATACATCTGGCTCGTGCGTACCTCTCTGGATATGGTGTACTTTGAATCTGGTGGGCAATGTTGCGGTTCTCTTCAATTGGCTATCATTTGTTATTTTGGTAGTTTGGCCGAAACAGTCACTTATTGAGCAACTTGTTCCTGCTGTTTTAGCCGTAGCAGGATTTGACCCACATCAGTGCGCACAGCTTTGTTTCCTGTATGAGGTGAGCTTGTTGCAAAAATGTTACAGATAAGGCTAAAATGTCATACCTACAGTACGGGGTACTGAATCCCTTGCAGTTTTCTCAGACAGCGGATAGGACCCCTCCGCCGGAGAAATGGCAGGGTCGCGGCCATAGTTGCGATAGGGGGAGTGATGGATCTTACCCCCTTCACTTTGAGGCCAAAATCCGGATGACCCCCTTCACCTGGACTGAGATTGGTATTGTACTCTGAGAATATAAAATAAAAATCGTTATTAAAAGGTTTTGCAGGCTAACTACTTCAAACAACAAGTACACTCATAAATTTATATTAAGAGGATTCGAGGATTCAGAGGATTTATATTAAGAGGATTCGACCTAGACCATTACTTTCTTTCTAGTCCCCCTCCCGAGAGATATACCGCATTTTATCCAAAAAAAGGTCCATTAATAGCAGATTTCTGCCAAGCGAAGACCTAATCACTGCTGATTATCTATCTGTGTGATAGAGCAAGTCTTCATTAACAAACGTAGACCGTCGACTTTCTCGTAGCATTCATTTGGAGAGCAGAAAGTGAGGGCACAAAATCAGCTAATTTTTGAAGCACATAAAATCCCTCATATCTCGAGTCACAGAAGACCTGGAAAAAAGGCGACGGTCTACGTCGATTCTCCATGATCTCAGCTTTCGAATGGTATACAGCGTGTTAGGGCTTCTTTGCTTCCCGGCTCTAAAAATCATTTGCTCCGGTAACCGATAAAAGCCAATACATTGGTGGAGCTGGCTGGAGCAAGCTAATAGTAAATATCTCCACCCCATTTTTGAAAACTGGTTAGTTTTTTCGCCCAGCAACCTACATACCATTCGAAAGCTCAGGAAAAGGGGATTCGACCTAGACCGTCGACTTCTTTCTAGCCCCCCTCTACCGAGAGATACACCGCATTTTATCTGAAAACATGGTCATTTTCAACAGCAGATTTCTGCCAAATGAAGACCTAATCACTGCTGATTATCTATCTGTGTGATAGAGCAAGTCTTCATTAACAAGCGTAGACCGTCGACTTTCTCGTAGCATTCATTTGGAGAGCAGAAAGTGAGGGCACAAAATCAGCTAATTTTTAAAGCACATAAAATCCCTCATATCTCGCGTCACAGAAGACCTGGAAAAAAGGCGACGGTCTACGTCGATTTTCCATGATCTCAGCTTTCGAATGGTATACAGCGTGTTAGGGTTTCTTTGCTTCACGGCTCTAAAAATCATTTGCTTCGGTGACCCATAAAAGCCAACACATTGTATAGGTCGTCCCGAAAGTTTTTGCGCACAATTTTCAAAAATTCATAACTTCTGATTTTTCCGACCGATTTGACTGCTTTCACTTTTTTGTGAAAGGGTAAGTCATGATCATTATAATGACATCTCAGCTGCTTAGTAATGGTCATCTGTTGCATAGATAGAAGCTCAAAACCAAAATCACTCAAAATTTGAATTTTTGTGTAGGGTCATAAAAAATCAGAAACTTGCAACAAAAATCGGAGCAGTCGGTATTGTAGGTTCTTCACCAGCTCTTTCTAACAGTGCAAAGTTTGCTCCGATTGAGCGTTTCCATGAAAAGTTGTGATTTCCGAGCAAGCAATACAAAAAGGCGAATTTGATTTATTTTGGCATTTTTCAGGAATCATAACTTTTCATTGAGACGCTCAATCGGCGCAAACTTTGCACTGTTAGAAAGTGCTGGTGAAAGAACCTACAGTACTGACTGCTCCGATTTTTGTTGCAAGTCTCCGATTGCTTATGACCCTACACAGAAAATTAAAATTTTTACCATTTTTCTTCTATCGCTCCTATCTATCTAACAGATGACCATTACTAAGCAGCTGAGATGTCATTATAAAGAGCATGACTTATCCTTTCACATCAAAGTGAAAGCAGTCAAATCGGGTGGAAAAATCAGAAGTTATGAATTTTTGAAAATCGTGCGCAAAAACTTTCTGGACGACCTAATAAGAGCGAGGTGGAGCACGTTAATAGTAAAAAATTTGCTGTAAATTGACATCGTTATCAGCACTAACGGGAACGTGAGCGAACGCGTCTATTTGAGCGTGCTTATCGTTGTTATATGTTTGTGTTTTTTTTTGGTAAAAAATGCACTTTTGATTGACAGTTATGCCATCATTATTAGCACACACTCAAAAAACTATGGGAGATTGGTGAATTTCCACACCTTCACACAAAAACCCGCCCATTTCTGGAATCTATACTCTGTAAACCTAGTGCTGAAGAAGGTCACTTTCGTGAAAACGCTCTAGACTCACCTTACCTAATTTGTAGAGAATGGTTGGTTTCAATGAATCAAAAACTCTAAGACATTCAGAAGAATAACATGTTATTAAAATATCCCTCAATGTTTTGGAAAGGTTGGCAGTTTGAAGAGGAAACGGCAGGCAGAATACTTTACAAAATCGCAGATGACTCGCATGTGTTCCAGTTCAACAGCGAGGCAGAAGGAGAACCTTAAGCCGACGAAAACGTTGTCGACATTGATACAGAGTTGACAATTGAGCGAAACTCTCTGATTTCCTGCATAAGGAATCCAAGCAGATTGTCTAGTTTCAATGAGGAAATGTCAAGGAAGTCCATTGCTGATCTTCAGGTTGCTGAAGAATATAAGGCTGCTAAATTCACAAACATGGATATGAACAAAAGGAAGGTGTTAGTACAAAGCATAGTTACTGCACTTAGATCCCGGCTGAAGTGCAAACCCAACTCTGTGCTTTATGCTTTTGGAAGTTATTCGCCTTGTGACATTATGACCTATGATATTGAGAAAAAAAACAACGCGCAGCATAGTACCTCCTTTTTTCGGCTATTCCGCAGATGCTGTTAAAGAAGAAGTTGAGCAGCTTTCTAATCAGCTAACAGGACGTATGCCAGAGGAGGTGAAGCCAGAGTTTGACAAGGCCCAAAAAAGTATGCACTATTTCCTTCCCATGTTGCGAAAGCATATGCGATCTGGCTCTCTTCCCATTACTTACCGCAAAAATCTGATGGACTTACTAGCAAGGCTAGTTTCCATTCCGGAAGGGCACGGCAGAGGTGGAGAAAGAAATTTTCTATCTACTCTGTTATCAGAACAAACGCAGAAGTCGTACAACGATAGAGCATCTAAGCAAATACTTAAGATTTGTCAACCTTCTACTAAACACATTGTTATCTAAGAACTTCATTTAAAGGATTGGTATAAGGGTCCAGGCAGGCTGTTACCGTCTGACTTTTTGAAATGTCCTAAAAGATGTTATGAAGAAATTGGTCACCTACCTGCTGACTTCCTTGTGCTACCAGAGGGCCAGGAAAAAATCACAAAAGCGCTTAGAAGAAGAAGAAAGTTTCAAATCCATTTTCGACTCAGAACGCTTTTGCACGCAATTCTATTTCTACTCCGATGACCTTTTGGAGGAAGAACAAGATTTTTCAGGCAGCGAACTTGTTGTCTCTGACATTAGCGATAGTGATATTGTTGATGATGATGTGCAGGAAATGAAGTTGTTCCTAGCTTGTACATCTTTTGGGATAAACCTTATTGCTTTCGTTTTTTGTTGATGCAGTGAAACAGGAGCACAGATCTTCATAATCAATTTTTTTAAAATTTTTTAATTTCTTTTAAAAATTTTAATTTTTTTTTTCAGTTTGTGCCTAAATAAGGTACAAATTAGAGCTCTCCATACCACGCTTTTTTACCTTTTCTCTCTTCCTCCCCCCCCCCCTAGACTCACATACCCCCTTCACCCTGGAAGGTCGGGAACAGCCGAGACCCCCTTCACCTGGGGAGAGCCCGGCTCCCCCTATCGCACCTATGGTCGCGGCGTTTCCCCAGCGGTGGGTCTCCCATTTGTCCGGCGGAGCCCTCCCATTTCTCCGGCAGAGACCTCCCATTTCTGCTCCGGATACCTCCCATTTTCTGCTCCGGATACCTCCCATTTTCTGCTCCGGATACCTCCCATTTTCTGCTCCGGATACCTCCCATTTTCTGCTCCGGATACCTCCCATTTTCTGCTCCGGAGCCCCCGATTTTGTGCGCCGGAGCCCCCCGATTTTGTGCTCCGCAAGTCTGCCGCGGCATACTGTAATTAGCCCTAATCAAAGGCAGCTTCCAGGCAGATCTGGACCTATGGGGCTTTTACATGGAAAGTGCTTTTGGGGCCCTAACTAAGGCACTGCCGAAGCAGCAGTTCAGGTAGTGCTCTAATGGCCGAGATATTCCCCTCGAAACAGACCCCCCGCGAACGTATTCGCATGGATTCATGGCAGTTTCGCGCCAGGATCCACGCTTAGCGCCATGAATCCATGCGAAACACGGTCGCGGGGTCCGGTTTCGAGCAGAATATCTCAGGCGTTAGAGCACTACTTGAGCTGCCGGTTGGGTAATGGCTTAGTTAGGGCCCCAAAAGTACTTTCCATGTAAAATACCCATAGGTCCAGACTTGCCTGGACGCTGCCTTTAAGCTACAAAGCCCAATTTTGTCTCTAAACCCCACCCAAATAAGCCGAATAGGACCCCCCCCCCCCGGGTAGGAGTTTAGCGCGACCCTCACCCCGTACTCTATCCCCTCCCTCTCACCCCTAGCGTTTGTGGATAGAAGATAGAAGAAAGAACGAAGAGATAAGGCATTTATTTCAAATTTTTCAAACTTTCGATGCTTCATGATCTCTTCGAAACATGCTTGATATTCACTTTCTAACATTCCCTTTTCCGAATCTTCACTGGGATCTCGTAGCCAAACATTGATTCCAGCGAAAACATGCATTACATCGTTGCCCAAACTATCAGCGATCGAACAGTCAGCACCTCTGCAGAATACCATTAATGGTGAAATTGCACAAGAACGAGGCAGATATAACTGAAGGCAATACACTCATCAGTCCTCTCTGTCTTTGAGAGATTACGAAATTCTTTTGGAGAAAAATAGATGAAGTGGAAAACAATCCAACCATTTTGAGCTAAATGATGACATGTGATGTACTGATTCATGATTCAATTCTGGTTTTGTTATATCAAAAAGATTTCAAACCTAAACCTATTCTTTAAGTTTGTCCAGCTTTTGTTTCACATTATTTTCGCATCATTGAAATCTAATACTTACGATGACGGCAGCAAAAAATCATACCACGATGAGTTTGATTAATCTCGTAGGTGAAGCGTACGCGATAATTTTTGTTACGCCTTTTCAAATAATGCTTTTCCACTATAACAAAATTATTTATGAGCTTCAGAGATCTGCGTGTACGACATGTTCTTCTTTTGTGTCGACCTAATTTTATGCGCTAAGGATTCGCATCTGGCCCTGATTATGAAACTGAATCTCTACCTGGACAGTAAGTACTGCATCTGCTCAAGAAGTTCGCTTTGCGCATCTTCGTCAGTATAACGCAGTAATGATGACAACAGCGTCACACCTTCCATATCCTTCCCATTAATATCCACATATTCGGACATCTCGTCCAGAAGCCATTGCACAATTCCATAATGGCCTATACTAATAAGGCTACACTTGGACTATATTTGGTTTCTTCAGCTCAATACCTTTAAGGTAAGCAATGGATAGTGGTGTTAGCTTCCAATCATTCTCTTGCTTGAGGCAGCTCGGATCAACACTAGTCAGAAGCTTTAGACATTCTAGCCAACCGTAAGCAGCAGCATAGTGTGCAGGTGTGTTGTTGGAAGAATCACCCTAGAACATGGCGTTACTAGCAATTCCAATTCGAATATGTATTTGATACCTTGAGAAAGTCAACTCCTTTTGCCAGTAACATAGCCGCGCAATGTTCTTGTCCGTTAATGATAGCAGGCGATAAAGCTGTACGTTTCTTGTGATCTTTTGCCATGATGAGAGCACCATGGGCGATTAGGATTTCAGCGATTTCGAGGTTCCCAAGAGAACAAGCTATCTGTAATTGTCAACTCTGAAGAGTGGCTAACTTTGATTAGTGTTCCATTATCAAAATGCGATCCGTACAGCATCTGGACAAGCTCTATTTCCAGAAAAAGCAATATCAAAAGTAGAAAAAATAGATAGAATGATATTTTAAATAGGTATGTGCTACCACAAGTACAAAAATATTGTCAGAATTAACGAGAACGTGAAGTCAGCATCCACGCAAATCCGATGCCATCTTCCCTACGACTTGAAGGATTGAACTAAAACATCCAAGCGCCAGCTTTTTTGATCTTTCGTGGCCATTTGAACTTGCGGGTCCTTCAGCAAAAGCACTGGCCACATCCAGCGAACCCATCCTTGCGGCTACGACCACCATGCCGTCTATGAAGTTCACATCAAGATTGACGGCTTAACAGGGATATTCAAGACCTAAAAAGGACGGGTGATGATATTGAACCAGAAAAAAAGAATAAATGGTTGATGCACTCACCAGATGAGACATTTGGTTCCTTAGACACCTTGACTAAATCTTTATAACTCATTCCATTCATTACGAGATCTTTTCCTGACTCCCACTCAGTCTGCGACTCAAAGTTCAAAAACGCATTATTTCCCTCTCGGCCACCTAGAAAATTCGGAATTGTAGACATTAACATTCATTGTGATAAGATACCTCGCGTCATCTCCACTGCTTTAGTTGCACGACCCAACATATAAAAATGGGACTGTCCAGTGGTTTTCTGAAACATTAAGTTGAATAGTTCTGTCTTTAACTTATAGAATGAGCTCACCCTTCGAAGGAGATTTGGTTCTCTTCGTGAGGTTTTTCCCGGTTTTAGCTGAGATCTGAGCTCAAAATACTCTTGCCGAACAGCATCGTTGTCACACAAAAGAGCACAACCATCTGGTGTTTTATCTTGCGCGTACGAAAATTTCAAAGAACGTGAGGATGCGTCGATGTATCTGAAAACATCTGACTGATCAAGTCTTAAAAATCAAGACTTTCGGAAACTAGCAGCCTTACGAGACTTGTGTCCACTGGTAGCTAACAATGCTGCCATCGTCCTTAGCATTGCATTAAGAACGATGGAAGATTCGGGAAGTGTATGATTACCGCCAGCATCAGCAACTAAAATTGTGATTTCATAAGACCAGAACTCAATTTTCACACGGTAACACAGCAGCATGGAGCCATTGAAGAAGAACAGAGAATAATTGAATTAAAAAAAACATAACATAAAAGTGCGACATTCAAGAAACAACTCGCCTGGAGGCAGATTTTGAGCTTAAGCTGACACTGAAGGTGATTGAGTGCAACCGCACGAAAATTTGAAACATAAACCTGAAAACGAGGAACTTACAACAACATAAACGCCAACGCGACGAAGAGCAACGCGGAAAAGAAAAAAATGGTAAAGAAACGCGGAAAAACAACAAAAACAAAGAAACGACGACTAAAATATGGAGAAAGAGCGTAAACAGAGGACTCATCACCGTGGAGTTAGACGATTGCTTGCTACGCGCCAAATCGATACGCAGCCTGCTCCGGGGCCCTCCCATTTCTGCTCCGGATACCTCCCATTTTCTGCTCCGGATATTTCCCATTTTCTGCTCCGGATACCTCCCATTTTCTGCTCCGGATACCTCCCATTTTCTGCTCCGGAGGCCTCCCATTTCTGCTCCGGACCCCTCCCATTTTCTCCGGCGCGGCTCTTCCAAATTTGGCGGACTCGCGCCGGGCAAATTTCTCCGGCGCGGAGTCCGCCAAATCTGGCAGAGTCGCGCCGGAGAAATGGCGGACCTTTGCAGCAGGGCCGGAGAAGCCTCCCACTTGCCTGTCAGTGATGTCACCGCGATGGACCGCCCATTTGCCCCTCTCTCATTGGTCAACTGGGTCCGGCGCGACTCTGACAGTTTCGGACTGTCCGGCGGAGGGGTCCCGTCGATTGTCTGAGTTGTTTAATAGTGACTACCTATCTAGTATTGTCATTTATGTTCTGCGTAATGCTCTACACATCCATAAAAATCAACAAAACACTAAAGCAGGAGTCAATTAACGAAAACATAAGAAAAGTGCATCGGAAACTGTTCATATTGTTATTGTTACAGGTATGCTATAACAATGAGATCAATATAAAGAGCAATATCTGTAAACTATTTCAGACTGCTTGTCCAATTTTCCTTCTGCAAACACCTTGCATGATATCAGCAGTCTACGTGTTTACTGGTACACAGAAGACAATTTTTGTCGCGTATTTTTGCACCATACTAAGTTGTTTCTATCCCTTACTGAGTACTCTTCTAATCATAGGATTTTTGGATGAATACCGTAAGCATACTTTGGGGCTGGTTCGCTTGCTCACGAAACGTGATAGATATGTAAGATCAGTTTCATCTAGAACTTATCCCGAGTCTTAGACTCCCACATAAAGCATATCCTAATTCCAGATTTCCATGCTGTAATAAGTGTTACATTGTCGTCGTTAAAGGTTTTGATATATATTTCGGTACTTTCACTGGATTAACCTTTGAATAAAATGTGAAGAAACGAAGGGTTGCTCGTTCCTGGTTTTTTTCTAGCAAGGGACGATACCCGATCGCAGTTACGATTGGGTAAGCGGTGTATACTGCGTATATCGTCCCCAGACGTTGATCTCTAAGGGTGCCTTCATACCGCGCCAACAGCCGCCGCTAGCCGCTTTTCTGCACTATCCCAGTATCCGCCTCTTAAAATTGAAATTATGAATCCTGCTCAAACTTGGTTTGATGGGGTTGTTCAACATGCTGATTACGAATAACTTAATCTTTCTACATTTTCGGAAGGCCTTGGAATACTGGGATAGTGTGCTAAAGCGGCTCTGGGCGGCTAGCGGCGGCTGCCGGCGCGGTATAAAGGCACCCCAAACCGCACTCCATACCTGCCATGACGTCATTCTGGAAGAGCTATAAAGGATTTTTGATGCTGCAGCGCACTCAAGTACTAGACTTGCTTCATGAACGATGTGGTCATTGGTGCAGTGGTTAGTGGCTTGGAGTGCTGAGCTGGATGTCGTGGGGTCGATTCCCGTCAGATGCTGGAGGTTTTGCGTTTTTGCAAAAGCTTTCATAGCTCTTCCAGGATGACGTCATAGCAGATATGGAGCGTGATTTAGAGCCCGTCTGGGTACGGTATATGTGGTATATACCGCTTACCCATTCGTCACTGTATCCCCCCCCTTGTAAGTTCACTGACCGAGCCTTCAGCTTGTCAGTAAACAGCTTTCACTTGTCTCTGAGGTAACATTGTGCAAGTGTAATATCTACCAACGCCTTTTTTGCATCTGGAAGTATTCTGGTCGTGGCTTTTCCAAAAGAAATCTAAACTGCGGACAGCGATGAATGCTGATCTCCAAACTTAGGGCAGTTCAATTGAATACTTTCCGTCTGGTAATCTCGTACTCAACACCACTTTCGGGCCCGAGCGTACTTCACGCGGCAGACCGAGGCGACTTGGCAGTACTGTCAATTTTGTAACTTATCGCAAGCGCGATCTTGATGTACAGACATACATTTTAATCTGCTCAGACAGCGGATAGGACCCTTCCGCCGGAGAAATGGCAGGGCCGCGGCGTTTCCCCAGCGGTGGGTCTGCCACTCGTCCGCCGGAGCCCTCCCATTTCTGCTCCGGAGACCTCCCATTTCTGCTCCGGAGCCCTCCCATTTTGTGTTCCGGAGACCTCCCATTTGTGCTCCGGACCCTTCCGATTTTCTGCGGCGCGGCTCTTCCAAATCTGGCGGACTCGCGCCGGGCAAATTTCTCGGCGCGGCTCTGCCAAATCTGGCGTACCTCCGGAGCAGAAATGGCGTACCTTTGCAGCAGGGCCGGAGAAGCGTTCCACTTGCCTGCCAGTGATGTCACCGCGACCTACAAGAAGGGACCCCCATTTGCCCCGCTCTCATTGGTCAACTGGGTCCGGCGCGACTCTGGCAGATTCCGACTGTCCAGCGGAGGGGTCCGGTCGATTGTCTGAGTGTAAGCGCTGCAGTTAAAGACATCTGGAGGATTGCCAGACCGCGTCGTAATCGCGTAGAGTGTGCTCAGAAACTTTAGTGATTCAGTGTACCAAGGTTCTGAGTTGCTTTTGCTTTTAGGAACATTGACATTAGGAATCCAGAAGTGCTGCAATAAAGATACTTGCAGTCAGCAATCAGTTTTTTCCATAATGAAATAATACTCCGTGGAGGTCGTGCAAGCTGGCGGATTTCTCGGCTAGTCCTCCACAAGAAAATCGTGCAGAAATTGAGCTAAGTTGGCAGAGATGGAGAAAATTTTTCGCTTATGATCCACAAAGTTTATTCTACGTACTGATCACAACATATGTTTTTATCGCATGAATAATCCATTTTGTAGTTTTGGAGTTATGGTAAGTTGGCATAGAACCAAAAATCACAGATTAGGCTAAAATTTACGTTTGAACTTCATCTAACATGCTAATTGCAAGTACAGACTTATTGTGATAACGATTCATTGCGGAGTCACAAAGAGATTATAGCTCTTATAACAGTACTACATCCCTTAACCTTTTTAACAGTCTTTATACCTATGAATCTCAAAGCTTGTGACCACGCTAATCCTATGTTAGGATTGGACTTCTTGTTTTAACGTGTATGCGTCAAACTTTGCACGCATACATTTTAGACACCGTCGGGGAACATAGGCTACTTTTTGAGGCGTTTCGCTAGGCTATTAATTTGTTGTGTACTATCAAGAAAATGAAAGCTTATCATACTTCAACAAAGCGTTTTCCATTGTCATGAGGCGCGATAAAGCTATTGCAGTATGAGGATGCTGTTTGAAACAAACTAGAGTTGTGCCCGTAAGTCTTCTATGATATAAAAGGGTGGGAGGTCTCGCAGTGCAGTTGTTATGCTAGCACAATAGAGCACCACGTCTCCGGTGAGCAATTGCTCGGGCTGGACCGGGAAAGCCAGCTAATAATAAAACCGACGATCAAATGGAAAACCTTGGAAAGGCTGCAATGCGTGAATAGTTCGATATCTGTGATCAGATTTGGATCATTTCACTGCACATGGTTCTGTTGATTCATAACTTTGAGCCCATACTATTTTTCAATAGCCTAGACTTACCGGAATCACGAGAAGACCCAATCATGCAAAAAATATAATGGTGATCGGCGTTTTTTTTGTGGTCGGTACATAATTTGGATTCTGCCCAATTCGTGACACTGACCACCTACTGCATATCCGCCGTAATCACACAAAATGATGTTTGTACGCAAAAAAGAGTTTGATAAGTGTGGTCAGCATGTCGAGTAGCCTGCTTAAAGCTAAGCTGCGCGAATTATGTTTTCTAAATCTTGACGTTGGGTGCTGCCTTAGGAAAGTTTTTCTAATCTGAAAAAATTTCTGAGCGCGAAAAAAAAATCAGTACGTTTTAAGCCTCAGCGACGACGACGTACAATGTACAGCAAAGTCAGGCAATACTCATTCATCAAGAATGTGGCTAAAAGTACTCTGTGGGAGAAGTTGCTATCTCATCCTTGTGACGATTTCAGTTGACTTACAAGCCTTCAAGGGAAGGAATTTTTTTATATCGTTCTTTCGCTTTGCCGCACAACTCCCGCGCTGTTTATTGTGAATGTATTGCTTTAGTCAATGAAGTTGTAACGATAATCGACAGCCATTACGCTGCTAATAGTACTCGCTGAATTTCAATTGAAATAATGACAAGAGCGAGTGTAAACAGGTGAACAAAGTGCCATTTATTAAATATGAATATGAGTTGGTACTTTTTTGAAAAAATCTGGCGAAAAACGGTGTTTTCGTTGGTCAAAAAGATTAGAATAACGCAAGAGAAGATGGTATTTTGTGAAGACATTATACTGTTGTCGCTATTATTGAAGAAAGTCCCCATTGTTCTGACATTGCCATTTATGAAAAAAGCCAAGTCTTTATACAGGGTGACCCAAAAAATGTGCCTACTGTTTGATTGTTGATAACTCTATTGTAATGAAGTATTTTGAGTTTGATTGTTGATAACTCTATTGTAATGAAGTATTTTGAGAATAGGTACTGCTTTGTAGAGCTAGCTTCAACTTAGATTTACGGTATAGAGCGATTTACCGGTCGCTCTTCATTACTGTAGGATTACGGTATGAACTTCCATATGGTGTCACTGTGAAAAAAA